TGCTGGAGCTGCTTTCCATGTTACCTGGCTACCATGTGCATATGTGAGTGCATGTATGCACATGGTGCCCCCTGCCTCATAGCCCTTCTCCTGCTCCCCCCAGCCCCAAGCAGCCCCTTGCAAGCTGGATCTCTGCCAGTCTGCAAGGGAAGACCTGTAGATTGCCACGTTTTTTTCCTTTAAAGGAGAATCCACTTTTAAAGTTGGTTGATCCATTTTTTTAAAGTGTGTTTGTGACCCTTTCATATGTTCTTGTGGCCCACTTTTGGATCACAACCCTTAGGTTGAGAAATGCTGATCTAGAGAACAGAAGCTTCTTTTCTGCTGGCCTCAGCACCAGGAGACATTCAGTGAATTTAAGGGTGTCAGAATCAAAACTAACAAAGGTCCCCTTTACACGTTACAGGTATTGTGCAACTAGTTAATTGCACAGTTACCTTAAGACGAGCTACACATGCAGAGTAGTTATCCCATGATAAAAAGCTTCAACCAGCTATAAAATTAGACCTTGAAAATGTATTTGGTTGTAATTTAAACGCGTAGTGCCCAGCTGCAGGGGTGAACCTTGCCCAGCCTTAAAACCCCAAGCCCTGGGGATCATGGCAGCCATGATCCCCAGAGCTCAGGTGGGTATGTAATCCCCTGCCCAGCTCAGCTGGGGCTGAGAGACCCTGCAACTGGCAGGGCTTCTGGTCTCTGCTGTGCCCCGTGCAGCCAGCTTCATCAGCTGTGGTCTGTGCATGGCCCCTATAGCTGGGAGCCTCCTCAGCAAAGGCTCCCAGCCGAGGGATCCTGCTCCTTGCCAGTGCAAGGGGAGCCCAGGATCGGACTCCACCTGCACCAGCAATAAGGCACAATTGGATCTAATGTGTGAACTGACAGTCGTACCTCCTGCCCATACATGTGTAGCACAAATGCAAGTCATCTTACCTGCACATATATAGGAGACCAAAGAGAAACATTTTTCCACAGAAAGATGTAAATACTTTGTGGAATTCATTGCCAAATACTAAGCAGGATTAAAAATGGGACTGGACATCTACATAAAAAAGAATATGCAGTATTATAGTTTTGCTGGCACTATTTATTTTTCAAGAAATATTAAACCTCATGCTTCCTGAGTTAAACCTATCTGCAATAGGGATTAGGAGGCAACTTCCTGTGTTGCAAGAAATTCCCATAATTCTGCATAGAAAACAAGTTTTGTTTGGCTAAATTACAGACCGCCTATAATCTAGTCTACTTCGCTCAAATAATTTCATTTGTAACAGCTCTAAATAGAAAGCTTCTCAGCTTCTACCCCCACCCAAAAGTCATGTGTATCAAGTTCTTATTGCTGGATATTTATAACAATACATAAAAATTTACTGCTGACATTCATTACCTCAAATGGCAATAAATAAAGCATCTGTAATTCTTATGGATTCACTTTCATTTATATTGCAAGTTCTCTTTGTGAAAATTATTTAAAAAATTAAAGCTGTCAGAAAAATGGCTTGCTTTTAATTTGACCTACATTTATTCACACTTAATCTATGTGGGATTGTTAAATGATCGAAAAAAATTGAAATACTCTACTTTTTAAACTTTTGTAGTTATGTATCAGCCATGGTTCCTGTAAAATCTCCAAAAGAATACTATGTACAGCAAGAGGTAATCGTGCTTTTTTGCGAAACAGTAGAGAGGTAAGCGCATCTGGGAAATTAATTTAATACTTTTCAATATTTGTACCCATGGTATACTTTACTTTTTACCTTTTATTAGACCTGTTATGCATATAACATATTGTAATCTTTAAGAAGCAATGTAACAGTTAGCATTTCATTTTTGTCATGTCCAAGTATGGAGTCAGAAAGCATTGGATGTTTGTGGAAATGTTTTGGCTTAAAAATCATTGGAGTTCAGAGTGATAGACTTAAGGCTGACTAACCATTTAGCTTCACTGGATGTTTAAATATGTTATACATATTCAAGTCAATAAAGTAGTGTGCAAAAGTGCTCTGTGCACATTTTACAGCACTGTAATTTAGAGCACTTTTTATAACACTGTAAAGTTACAATGCCCTTAAACATGACAGAAGTGCAGTATTTGGTAGTGGGGTAGGGGGGACTTCTGAGCCTCCCTGCACTTTCCAGGCTGGAAGGCAGGGGGAGCTCTGCTCCTGGGGCTTCTCTACTGGTCAGAAACTTGACCAGCATACAGAAGTTATTTAAAGTGCTGTAGGTTGCTAAAGTGCTGTAAAATATAGCACTTCAGATTTAATATCTCATTTAACAAGGGTTAATTTAAAGCATGGTACCCATTTTTAAAGGTCTGTAAAGCCATGCATTTCTGTTAAGTCACAGCAGTAAAGCAATTTAAATGGCAAAAAAAGTGATTTCTGTACACACCTTAAGTCCTGATGAAATTTAATGCTAGAATATTTAAGGAGGTAGTAGAGAAACTAGCTGAAGCATTAATCACTTTTATCTCTGAGAACTGAGAGAGGAGGGGTGAGCTCCCAGATGATGGGGGCAAGCATTATACTTATTTTTTTAAAAGGAGGACTTGGTAAGGTACTTACTTATACTACTTACTACACTTGATCTTAGCCAAGAGGCTGGTTCTGGCATTCTGTTACTATGATGTCAAATCACCTGGGTCAACAAAAAATGGGAATAGTGGTTACCTGTTTAAACAATGTGCTTGATGAGAAGGAAAGGATGGAAGCTTGGATGTCCTGAAGAGGGCCTTACTTCAGGAGTGTGGGTACTTTTGTTCCCTCAGGTGATCTTTGAGATCTTTCCTTTTTGGTGATCATGGTAGGTAGAAACACTATGTGCAGCCTCTTGGATAGTTCAAAAGGCCGAGAACAATTCTTCCCTTCTTGGTACAGCTAAGGTTGAATGGGGAGACTGAGCTGGACTCAGTATCTTGTGGCCCCTGCTCCATCACCAGGAAAGATCTGCCGTATGTTTGTGTGGAAAGCTTCCTTCTAATCTTCATACATTTTACATTTTGCAGTTGTGGTTGGGGAAGGCATCATTATGTCATTTGGTTCCAATAGGTGGGGGTGGTAGTACCAAGAAGAGATTCAATTAACTGTGGGTAGTGAACTCTAAGTATAATTTTTCTTCTTCGCTTTTTCTGGCTTATCATATCATCTGCTCCTAGTTCAAGTTTTTTCTGTCTCATATTTATTTTAATTATTAAATGCTGATACATTTCTGAGAAAAGTATGTTTTGCTGTTTTACCTAGAGCTCTAAAGCTTGGATACCTCACTCAAGACATGATTGATGACTATGAACCAGCATTAATGTTTACCATCCCAAGATTAGCAATTGTGTGGTAAGCTTCATTTTTAATTGAGCATTTTAAAATGCCATTGATAATTGAAGTAAATTCACATAGCAAAGTGCAGAAAGAAAGAGTCAATAAGATCAAAAGGCAACAAATACTAAGAAAGGATAATTCAGAACAGCTGAATAGGCAGGGTAGGAACTGAGAATAGCTGTTCAGTCATCCCTCAGGAAAAGGCTTGGAAATCGGGAGCGCTGGTGGTTTGTGTGACTTGGTACATAAAATAAACTGTCTGGATGTTTTCTACGTCACTCGGGAAGTAATGGCCTTTTGTTATGAGCCATTAAAAATCATGAGTTTTCATCATAATTGCTTAGTTTCTTTATTGATATAGGCAGAACCCAAAGGAAATTATCTTGGTATCTGCTAATATAGTTCAGTGTAACAAAAGGGCAAGTTAGGTATAGACAATTTTCTAAAAAGAGCAATTATGTATATAATTGGATGGAAGCAAAATTTTTGCCTGACCTCTTTCCCCCAGTTGATTGCTTCAACTGCTAAATGAGTAAGCTTTTACACTTAAAACAGTTTATTACAACAGTACATATTCAGTGAATAAAATGCATTCTTCCTCATGGGTCTTTCTTATTTAATAAGATGAATTCTGTGGAGTAGTCAAGGTAGCAAGACTACAAATGCTATATTTTCATAGTCATAGATGTTAGGGTCAGAAGGAACCTCAGTAGGTCATCGAGTCTGACCCCCTGCCCTAGGCAGGAAAGAGTGCTTGGGGTCAGATGACCCCAGCTAGGTGCTTGTCAAGTCTCCTCTTGAAGACCTCTAAGGTAGGGGAGAGCACCACCTCCTTTGGAAGCCCATTCCAGATTCTGGCAACCCTTACCTTAAAGAAATTCTTTCTAGTGTCCAACCTAAATCTGCTCTCTGTCAATTTGTGGCCATTGTTCCTAGTTACTCCATGGGGTGCCTAGTAAACAGAGCATCTCCTATTCCCTGCTGCCCTCCCCTGATGAATTTATAGGCAGCCACAAGATCACCTCTCAGCCTTCTCTTGCGAAGGCCAAAGAGATCTAGGTCGCTCAGTCTCTCCTCATAGGGCCTTGCCTGGGGGCCTCTGACCATATGAGTGGCCTCCTCTGAACCCTCCCAAGATTCTCCACATCCCTCTTGAAGTGCAGCACCCAAAACTGGACGCAGTACTCCAGCTGCGGCCTGACCAATGCCACAGAGAGGGGAAGCATCACCTCCCTGGACCTGTTCATCATGCATCTGCCAATGCATGATAAAGCCTTGTTGATCACTTTGTCACATTGATAACTCATGTTCATCTTGGAGTCAACTATGACTCTAAGATCCCTTTCCACTCCTGTGCTGCTGAGAGTCATCCTCCAGCCTGTAAGTGTCTTTTTGCCCAGGTGCAGCACTTTGCACTTGTCTTTGTTGAACTGCATCCTATTTCGTTCTGCCCATTTTTTCCAACCTGTCCAGATCTGCCTGGATCTGTTCCTTACCCTCTGGTGTGTTAACTTTGCCCCATAATTTAGTATCATCTGCGAACTTGGACAGGGTGCTCTTTACTCCCTCATCCAAGTCACTGATGAAGACATTGAATAGCACCAATCCAAGGACCGAGCCTTGCAGGACTCCACTGCCCACATCTTTCCAGGTCGATATCGACCCGTCCACCACCGTTCTGTGGGTGTGACCCGTGAGCCAATTTGCCACCCACCTGACCGTGTCATCATCTACATCACAACCTGTCAGTTTACTTATGAGGAATAGGCCTTCTTAAAGTCTAGGTAGATGACATCTACCTCGACTCCTACGTCTAAGCATTTTGTGACCTGCTCATAAAAAGAAACAAGGTTAGTCAGGTAGGATCTACCTGCAGTGCATCTGTGCTGATTTTCTTTCAGCATTATTTGCCCTGCTGGGCTCCCACAAATGTGATCCTTAATGATTTTTTCCAGAGTTTTCCTAAGGATAGAGGTGAGACTAACCGGCCTACAGTTTTCTGCTTCCTCCCTCCTCCCCTTCTTGAAAATAGGAACCACATTGGCCCTTTTCCAGTCCTCTGGGACCTGACCAGAGCACCTTGAGTGCTTGAACAGCCGTGCCAGCGGCTCTGCTATGACACTGGCCAATTCCTTCAGCACCCTTGGATGAAGTTCATCTGGGCCCGCTGATTTGAACACATCCAGCCCTCCAAGTGCCCCTTCACTAAGTCTGTGCTAACAGTTGGTGAACTGGTGTCCCTCCTGTGTCTATCTGCAGTCCAACTGGGAGATTTGTCTTGGTCTGTGTCTAGGAATACAGATGCAAGGAACTCACTGAAGAGCTCGGCTCTGTCCCCCCTCTCTGTCACTAATTGCCTTATTGCTCTGCCACCAACTGTTATTTTAATAACAGTTATGTTTTAAAAATCATTAATATAACTAGCATAGTTGAGGGAAATTAGACAACTCAAGCCCTATGTGGGCAAGTTTCTTCTTAGGAAATCCCTGTGGCCCACTGTTGTTGATAAGAACAGTTCTGTCTGCAAGTGTCACGTGGCAAAAAAGGGAAAAAATCATCTGAGCAACACCAAGCAGCAAACCTGTAAGAAAGGGACAAATCACTTTAAATAATAGTGAGCCCAAAAGAGAGGGAAACTCATGCAAGAAAAATAAATCCATATTGCTGGAAACCCAGCAACCTGCTGAGAAACATCTTGTGCCAATCCCAGAAAAAAAATCTGACTGTTCACAAACCTAAGCACTGGATGGAAAGCTATATTGCTGCCACCGGGAAAAACTGAATCATTCAGATGTAATGCTTCCTTGAAGACTCGTGAACCTGTTGTCTGGACTGTAGGAAGAGAAGCCTCCCTTAACTTCAGAGAAGGAACATCTAGAAAATGCCGTGGTTTTAGTGTGTTTTATTTCTTTTTAGGGAAGAAAAAAGTGGTGTCCTTTCCAGCAACTTCTGTTGGCCAGGATGAGTTTTTACTGGATATTTCATCTGGCTAAACTGTCAAAACCCAAAGAGATCAATTAATTCAGCAAAGCACCCTGGTGTAGCGCATCTTGTGCATTGCTGTACTGTAATCATTGGACTGGCTGTCTGCAAATTTAGTACAGATTGAGACTTTTTGCACACAGAAAGTTAGTGGAGATTAACTAGTTAAGAGATTTACATTTTTTTTTTAAGTTAATCATGATGATTCATTATTAGCTAGTCTTAAGAAATTATTAAATTTTAATAAAGTTGGCATGTTTATGCTATTAAATTATTTAGCTTGACAGTACATTCTGGTTTTGGATGACTTTTGTCATTAACCATTTTGAATCCTTGGTCTTCTCTGTCAAACTGATAGTACAGTCTTAGTTTAAGAGCCACTTATCCTCAGGGTCACTTTCTCATAAGCTTGCTTACGTGGCACTGATTAGCTCTAGACATCATGCAGTACATCTTGCTTAATGTGGTAACATGCCTGTGAACTTTTGACCTAACAGCCAGGAGGAAATGTTAAGACTTGGATTTGTGTTTCTTTTATATAATTTTGTTTTCCTGTCTTTTCTCTTAGCTACTAAGCCTCTTTCATAAATAGTCAGCAAGATGACAAGTAATGGGATTAAACTGCAGCAGGGAAAATTTGGGTTCAATATTAGGAAAAACATTTTAACCTGAGCTACAAGAACAGCTGAGCACCAGAACAAGATGTCTGTAGAGGTTGTAAAATGCCAGCATTTTGTGATACTGAAGGCTAGAATTGCTGTTCTGCCATCAGCGATGGTTTGGGAGTTCAGATCCATTCGGCTATAACATAGCAGCAGGAAAGAAAATGAGCAGTTGAAGTGCTCTGTTAAGAGATCTGTCTCTCGTAAAAGTCCTTATAATTGCAGTGGTTACAGGTAACAAGCTGGTAAGATTGATCCCTCACAATTAATTTTGACCCTAGCGGTCTTTCCTGCCCAGAGCAGCAGGGCTGAACCCCCTTCCAGCCCTGATCTTCTGTGAATCTGTGAATATTATATTATCAATTGGTTTATTTTAAAATCTCCTATATTCCCCAGTACTGTGCAGTTCACTTTCTCTCAAAAATATGATCAGACAGCCCTTGACTAGATTAAATTTAATCCTTTTTTCCCCCGGTACTTCATTTTCATTGTAACAAGTCTTTCATAGTTGATGGCAGTGCTTAGTGAAGGTGGTTGAATCAGATGAACGAACAGGCTGTTGTGCAGTAAGCTTCTTCTGTCACCCAGTTCATAGTGTCAATCGGCATACAAGCTGCTGATATCCTTTGCCTCGTGCATCTTCCCTGCCCAAGGCACGCTGCTCTTGTTCAAAAAAGCCAATAGCTTCTCTTCCCAGGGTGTTCCACTGCTACCAGTTTACAGCTAAGAGTTAACTCCTGGGCCACAGCTTAAGGACTCCCCTTCTCGCACTCCAGTTTACCAAGCGAGACCCACGTAGACCTTTGTGTCCCACATTTTTTGACTTAAGGTTTTCAACTCAGTGAAACAATCAAAATTGTGTTGTCCTTTCAGTGCTCTATGCTTTAAAGCATAGAAGCACCAGTGTCTCATTTACTAACCGCCCCCAGAAATGTCACCCAGAAACTTTATTAAAAGTTGTTTCCTCTACATTCCCTCTCCCCTCCCTGCCCTTCCTAAAGAGCCAAAAAGCTTCAGAAAGTTGTTCCTGGCCTGCCCGAGGCTGGAGCAGTGTATGAGAAAACATGCAGCGTGGTGCTGGTCGAGTACCTCCCGACTCGAACTCGAATCACAACTCCTTTTAGAGTCGTCTAGAATTAGTCACGTTCTAGAACGTTCTAATACATTCACTTTGTGAAGGCAAAGGGCACTGCTCCTGTGCTGGATGGTAGGAACTTCTGTTAGCTGTTCTGATGCTCTTTCATCTTCTTATTTTAAGACCTCTAGGCTTATGTGCAATAGTTTTAAATCTTAATTAAAAATAGACTGACCAAGGCAAATCAAAGCAGACTAGATAACAATAACAGTGGGCAATTAAAAGGCATCCTGAGGTCCCTTCACTCTTAAATTGTGAAAACGTTTACAAATGTTAACAAAACTACTTTACAGCAAAAGAGTGGATGTGGGGAAAAAAATCACTAGTAGGGCTGTAAAAATCTTCCTAATGACCTGTTTCCATAAACTGTTGCGCACTTTCACCCTGATCCAGCATAGCGCGGAAAACGCACAAGCAGCACTGTTGAGCGGGACTGCCGGACTCAATGCCTTGTAGGACTCACCTCACAAGGAGCATGGCTTTTGTCGCAAAAACTTAACAGCAGGTCATGTTTTACCCTTTCCTATTGGTAGTAAGGATTCCTATTTGAGTTTGCTTTCAGGAGATGAACTTCCTCTGAAGTTTGTTTTCTTTTTTCTGCTGTTGCGTCAGAATTACAAATCTAAGGCTGTGGCCAGGCGTTCATTTGTAGTGCTGCAAAGTGTCTTTGTGGTGCTATGAAAATGCAGAGCTAAGGGCGTGTCCAGGTGTTCCAGCCCAATGCCTGGAGACTTGCAAGTTACCTCAAAGGCAAGCGCTGCAGCCCGGGGAGCAGCAATGGGCTGCTCCACGGTTTTCCCACGCTGTCCCCAGGGGAGCCCAGTCACTAACAGCCTATGCTCTTCCTTGCTGGAGAAGAGGGCAAGCTGAAAAGCAGTAGGTGCCAAAGACAACCTTCTACCCAACAGAGGTGGCAAGAGGTGGAAGAATTGCTTTCCTTGCCCCACCTGCTCCTAGTAATGCTGCTGCCAGAGCCTCGACTCTTGCAAGGGTTCTTGCGATGGAGGCAGCAATTTCCCTCACCTAGCGCTAACCCATCCCCCTCCTGCCACCTGTCCACTCTGCTGATTGGCAGAACGGGCAGGCAGGCAGTTGTGGGGAGCGGGGTTAGGGTTAGATGTAAGAGCCTCTGTCTGAGACTCCTCAAGTGGTGGCAGGGAATGGTCCTGCCACTTGACCAGTCTCAGACAGAGCTGGGACTGATCAAGTCTCTATGTTATAGCGTCCCCACACTGTGCAGTCTATCAGAGAACCATCTGCTTCCCATTTGCAGGGAAAGGGAGGGCATGTAAAGCACTGTGAGATGCTAGTTGTCCTAGAGACTCCTGTAGTACTGGTGTGTAACTGTATACGCTTTACACAGAGTGCTATAAAACATAGCCCTACTGTGAAGTTCCCTTTTGAAAGTGCTAATATTTTACACCAATTTTAGTATCTTTGTGGCTTGAATGGCTATACGCTCACTTTTTTTGTAGTGCTATAAGGGTGTATTTAGAGCTACAAATGTAACTGCCCGTTGCTTTAGGTCTCAGTCAGGGAGTACTGAAGACGAGACAACTTTGTACAGTTCCTGCACAGCCTAAATAGCACATTAGGGTATATTCTTGAAGTGAAAACAAGTGGCCTGGCAGATGCACAAAAAATTATTTTTCTTGGTTCCTTTTAATTAAGACAAATGAAAGAAAATTGCAAAAATTCTTCAGCCAACACGATTCTCAAAAAAGAACATCAATTGGAGCCAGAGGAAACAATAATTACATCTTATTGAGTCAGCTGTCCAAAGTTACACTAGGATCAAATTCCACATTTTGGATCAGGTTTAGGACATATTACAACTGTTCAAATTGTCAGTTTTAGCTTGACTTGTAAAAAAGATAAAGCAAAATTGCAGTATGATCCAGATCAAGTTTGAGACCTCTCAAAGTTTGGTTATATTCAGGTCCTGGTTCAGTCCCGGATCTACCTGAAAAACAACAGTGTAGATATCCCTTTCAAAATTGACTCGTGCTTAATTTCCATAGTTATTCACTCCCTGAAGAAATGAATAAAGATCCATAATTGAGAGGTGCTAATTTTGAAGCAAAGGCACTGGCCAAGTAAACATCGGTTTGTTCTCATTAAAAAAGTAATGTAGGTAGCTTGCAATTTTTACTTGGAAAAACATACACTTTTAATTTTTCTGGATAATTTTATTCCCTGATTCAGCAGTAATTGCATCATTTGACTGAACCCTGCCTGCTGAAACAAGGAAAGTAAAGAACTCAAAATGTACACACAGTCATTGGATAATTTAGTTCTTTGGCCAGAAAAAAAGATGTATTAAAGGTGACTTGCAAACAGAAAGAAAAAACGATATCTAAACATTGTGTGTTGATGATCCTAGTAAGCAAAGTTATTGGGGCTGGTTGACATGTGCCACCTGAGAACTCACAGATGGCCAGTCCCTGTTTTGATCTGAGACAATAGCACACAGCCTACTGATAGTGTCACAATAGCTGCAGATTCTCACTAATGCATGGAGTCCCATCCTACACTGTAAGGAGTCTCACAGATCATTCTTACTATTTTGAACGTTTTAACAATTTGTTATCTTATGTCATTTGGGTTGCAAAGACAGGAAACAACAAAACTTGCCAGACGATAGATAAAAAGAACATAAATGATTCCTCCATGTACTGATTTTGAGCAACACTGAGATCTTAGTATCTGTGATACCAGCATAGGGTGTTTGCTGGAGCCTCTCAAAAGATCTTAACTTGGTCACCTACAACAGAGCTGGACCGTACAAACAAAAAAAGTGAGCAAGAAGTTAGCTTGCTGTTCTTAATACACTGAGTGATCTTACTATGGGAGATTCAGATCATCTAGGACTGGGGTGCTCAACCTCTGGCCCATGGGCCAAATGCAGCCTGCAGAGCCAGAGGTATCTGGTCCACAGGGTTTTCCACAGATCAGGAAGTGTGGCAGTAAAAATGGTCACCCTCCCCTGCTGCCAAATTCCCAAACTCTGAGGCTTGCACAACAGTTTGGGGTCAGGTCATGCCCTCATGCTCCTTCCCCTACTCCAGCAGCTGGATGAGGCTGAGTCATGCCCCTCCCTTTGGGCTGGATGGGGCCGGGTCACCCTTCCCCTGGCTCAATCCCTGTCCCCCCTGTAGAGCTGACCCACACTCCGGCCCCCCCACGGGGCTGGTGACATCCCCTCCCTCCCTGCCATGGCGCCAGGTTAGAATTGGGAAGTGCCCTTTCATGTATAGAATCTACATATTGAGGGGGGTGTCTTAAATCCAGTCACCTTGGATTTAGGTAAATACAGTATATCCATCACGTTTCTTTTTCTTAGCACATGTGGGTTTTTTCCCCCCTACCAATCTGTCAGGAATTTGCTTGGGAAAAGCTGAGCAGAGAGGCTCAAATGGGTCAAACACACTATCGAGAATTAGTTTAAAATAGAAAGAAGCAACCAGTTGGAATTGATCTTGTGACAATCAGAGTCCCCAGAATACTCTGAAGATTACATTATTTAATTATCAATTTATTTTATACCCTTGCTTTTTTTTTTTTTGTTACTTAACCTGTAAAGTAAAAATATGTATTCTTCCTGTTAAGTTTTAATTGTTTTCTCCCCACACTTAAGATAAAATTCTTTGCAGTGTTTCAAATATTGATTAAATGTAACCTCTTGCCAAAAAGACCCTGAAAGAAAACAGATAATTGTATTAAATTGTTCATAATTATATAACCTTCAACCTGAGCATAATTTTAAATATTTGTCTAATGTTGATTTTCTGATTGCTCATTCTGTGTTCAGTCCAAGTATCATGAAAAATTGAGTTTAATTTTTAGCTTCTTTTTTGTCTGTGTGCCTTAAATGCAGTGGGCTTGTAGTTTACTCTGAAGGACCCCTGAACCTGGACCACAAGCCAGAAGATATGTCTGAGCTTTTCAGACCCTTCCATACTTTGCTACGAAAAATAAGGCAAGTTGAAAAGATTTGTTTCTTGAAATTACTTCTTTCCTGTGGTGAAAATGAAAGGCTTGAAAATTACACTTGAAAAATGTTTAAAACAAAACCTGTTTCTGTGCTTGTTCTATCCTATAATTTGCCCCTATTTTCCTCCTGTATCCCATTATTGTACGTAGCTGTCATTTCCAGCTGATCTTTACTCTGGTATTTTTAAAATATTTTTGGCTTTTCATAATTCCTTCTTTTTTTAATAGATTTTTTTTTTTAGGTTTCTTTGTTTTGATAGATAAGTCAGGTAGGGGATGTCTGCATTGACAAAGCTAGGCATTGTAAGGTTTTAGAAAATACAGTTTTCAGCAACATTCATGTTTCTGTTTAACTATATTTATTTTACATTTCCTGTGGCTCACTCATTATAGTATGATGCAGTACTCAGTGATTTCATGGGTTATTTCTGTCTATTATTTCTGTCAGATTAATGGTAATCAGACTTTCTGTTTTTTGGGTCCGTTTTTAAAAAGCAACTCAATTTACATACATCGTATTACCTAACTTTTGAGTCTCAGTTGTCTGAATCAGTAATTTAATTTGAAAGTAGTAAAAGGGCAGTATTACGGAGAAGTAATAAAATTAACCTAACTTCAGTGAGATGTGTGTGGTTGCTCACATCTCTCTCCTGTGGCATTAGAGCTCTTATAGGTGGAAGAGTTTGTGGCCTTAACCAGGGGTGGGGGGTGTCAAACTCTCCCATCACCCTGGACTGAATCCAAACTGTAGGGCTCCTTGGGGGCCAGATCCAGACCTCAGGGCTTCTTGGGGACTGGATTCAGGCCCATCTCCATGACAAGGTGAGCAATGTCAGGGAGTTGTGGGGTTAACACGCCCATCTCTTGCTCCACACTACCAATACACAACCCCAGTTAGGGCTCCGTACTCTGGAGGCCCTACCTCTGCTTGCCCCACTCCCAAATTCCTGACCTACCTAAGAGCCCCGCAGGCCAGATGACCTGACTCCATGAGCAGGATGCAGCCCACAGTTCAAATGTTCGACTCCCCCAATTTATTTTTTCAAAAGCGACTAGTTGTTTTGAGTGTCTCAGGTTTTGGTGTTCATTTCAGAACATGTTTAATGAGGCCTGACGTTTATAACTGCCGAGCAGAATGTGAGGACCTTTTAAGGTATTTTATGTTGGTCATTATAAAATTAAGGAACTGGAAATACTAGAAACAAAACAAATTCTGATGGCAACTGATATTCCAGCACATTACAAGTGTGATGTGCTGGAACATCAAGTGTGAGAGATGAAGCCTCACCTTAGGACTGTACAAGGTGAGGACACGTGCTTGATTTTATTCTAGCTGATCAAAAAACTTGGAAAACCTGATAGACTCCAGGATTGTGTTACAAACAGAAAAGGACCCAGGGGCTATAGTAGACCATAAACTGAATATGAGCTAACAGAATGTAAAAAAGGCCAGCAGCATACTGAGTTGTATTAACAGGAGTGTCAATTGCAAAGCAAGGGAAGTGATTCTTGTGTTCTGTTCAACACTGGTGAGGCCTCACGTGGAGTGCTGTGCTGTGTCCTGTTTTGGTGCCACAATTCAAGAAGGATATGGACAGTTTGGAAAGAGTCCAGTGGAGACTGATAAAAATGGTTCAAGGGCTGGAGCATGTGACTTATGAGGAAAAGTTGGAAGAGCTTAGGTTATTTAATTGGAGAAGAGAAGACTGAAGGGGATTTGATAGCAGTCTTCACGTACCGGAGGGGTGATTTTTAGAGAAGATGGAGACGGGCTTTTCTTTGTGGCTGTAGAGAACAAGAATAGGAGCAATGGACTCAAGATGAAGAGGAAATTTTGGCTGGAGATTAGGAGGAACTTTCTTACTACAAGGGTGGCTGAACATTGGAACAGGCTATCTAGAGAAGTTGGAAACTCCCTGCCTGAAAATTTTCAAGAGCAGGTTGGACAGACACTTGGCTGGGATAGTTTATTTAGGGATTTTCTTGCCTTGAGCTGGGGCTGGACTAGATGACCTCATGAGGTCTCCTCCAGCCCTACTTTCCTATGATTCTGTGAACATGACAGGAAGCAACTTTGCTGGTAAATGGACATACGGAAGGAGCTTTGCATAGCCCTTGGATCACTTCTTGAGCATCTGTGCATTAGAGATGCACAGAGGCTAGTCCAAGTGCTTTGCAAACTCAGAATTGTTTGCTACAAGTTGGGCCAGATTGCAAATTAGGGCAACTCAGCTGTTTTCTACTGACCTAGGCCGAAGCCAAGAATACTTTCATGCTGTTCCTAGGTTAGTTTTTAATGATAGAACTTCCAGTACTTCTCTTGAAAGACTAGTCCATACCCCAATTAATTCATATAAAAGAGATTTCTTTCTAAAACTTACTTCCCTTCGTTTGTTTACACTATTCATATCTTAAGAGATGTGTGTAACTTTGTTTATTTTTGCCTCTCTGAACTGTTTTGTCTAGCTTTTTCTCTAACATGCATCATTATGACAAGGATGTTGAGATCAGAATATGTTGGTAAACTGAGTTTTTCCATAGCCTTAAGTGGTATTTGGTTGTAAATTGCAGCTTTGCCACTTAAATCAATCTGGTCATTATGAGCTTCCTTGAACTCTGTTGGCACCAATACTTTAGAACATAGTTTTATGTATACCTTTCGTAGGTGATGCACAGTGTCGCATATATTCTCCATAGAAAGTGAATGGAAGTTAGGCATGCAGTATTCGCTTGTGACTTTAAAAATCTCCTGATACATCTGTCTACAAGATTTATACTACAGATTTACAAGTGCATGTGCAGTACTGATCTTTGTGCTAGTGGTACTGTATCCTTCTATTAAAATAGATGCATGTTACTCTTACAACTTTGTAGTAATGTATTTGAGTGATGCTGAAAGTTGAGCATAAAGAAATAAATCACTGAGCCACAAAACTGATAAGGTAAAGAACAGAATTCTTAGTTCTTACTGTCATGAGAAGTTCAACTGAACTGTAAAATCCAATTCAAGTTAAAACAACAAAAACCCTATTTAATCCAAATATGCAAGCACAACAAAAATGCTTTGCCTATTTTACTTGCCTTCACTTTGATTATTAAAATTGAAGCAATTCTTAAAACTAAACATGCTTTTCACCATTTATTCTTTTTTTGCTTATGTTTTACTTTTTGCTTACATTTTACAGCATGAGGAATGAAAATCAATGGAAGGCAGTTATTGCTTACTGCATTTAAATTTCTGATTCTTAAATCTTAATGGTTAGATTGCAAATGCATCAGGAAAGTGCTTGTTTGTTCAATAACAAGTATTTCCAATGCAGTCTTAAAAAATCTTTATCCCAGTCTCTGGTTTTAGAAAAACTAGTTTTTACAAATTCCTAGCTTTGTGTAATTGTTATCTTTATGTTCTTCAAAATGAGAGTTTGCTCTTAGGCAGGGGTCTTGAGTGCAGTGGTCTGCAGCCAGAGTTTATCAAGTGTCTTCAATCAAGAAATATTTATTAGAAATTGAGAGAAAATCAAACTAAATTGAACATAAGTAAGGTGGAATTTATATAAAGTCAGGTATCTTTAGCAGCCTTGCTAGATGGGTCAAAATCATATAATATGGGTGATTAAAGTAAAGTGACAAGTTCCTGTCAAGCTATTTCTCTAAGGTTTTCTATTTCATAGTGTCCTGGGATTTCAGAGCCAAAGGCCTTCAAGTTAGATTTTCCTCCTCTTCCTCTATGCTGTAATATCCTTTTAATGGTTCTGTGAAAGGAGGAAGAGAGAAGAAAAAGAATAGAGGAAGAAAAGGGGAAAAGTAGAATGAGAAGCTACCCTGGATGTTGCATATTCACCAGTTGGAGGTTCAGCTGCACTAAATAGTAATGACTTTCCATCCCTTTGGATATTTCCGGGTCCAGCTCATTACATGTTGTTAGATACACAACATCATTTGCAAAAGAGGTCTACAGCAACAGGGAAGCCACTACAATGCTGGTACTTAAACACTGGCCTGTTAGTTTTGATAATTAAATTAGATTTGTAACCATCTAGCCTCAGTATTTGCATTTCTGAAGGTGGAAACAGGTATTGCCTTTCCTTGCCTTTATGGTGGCGCAAAGGCAAAGCAAACAGACATCCAGACCCCTATTGGCAGGAGAGTGCGGGTGGTTGGAGGTGCCTGCACTCTCCAGCCAGCCTAGGAGCCTAGGCAGGTGCTCTGGAGGCTAGAGGGGCCTGCTTCTGCATACCCAGGAATTCCCCAGGCAGGTGCAGGCCCATGGAGCACGCGCCTGGCTTTCCCCTCTTACAGAGACCTGCGCCAGGGAATTTTGGAGTGCATCTCAGGAAGTGGGGAAAGCCAGGGTTTCCCCATTTATGGAGATATACCCCTAGCATCTCCTGGCCTGAGTCTGTAATCAGGGAAAGCCTGGGTTTCCCCAGTTAGAGACATGCTTGGGAGATCCCAGGGGCACATCACTAAGTGAAGAAAGCCTGGGATTCTCTGCTTAGGGAGAAACACACCCTTGGGATCTGGCTGGCATGTCATGAAACAGGGAACCCTGGGCTTTCCTCACTTTGGGAGATGTACACAGGAGATCCTAGGGGTGTGTCTCCATAAGCAGGGAGCCCCAGACTTTTCCCTGCTAAAAGAGAGACAACCCCGGGAGGTGGAGGAGCCAGGGAATTCCCAGTGTGCTGTGCCTCCATGCTGGGACTGCTCTAGGTCCTGTTCTGCCCTGTGCTTCACATAGAGGCATGGGTCAGCCGGGGTCCCAGCGATCTGTCCAGCACTAACCCATGGCTCCATGTGGAGCATAGGACAGTGTGGGTCCCAGTGTAGAGGCATGGGGCATTGGGAATTACTTGGCTCCCACATCTCCCCAGGCCTCCTTCCCAGGACCTGTGCCAACCCATGCTTCACCCGGATGGTTGGGTGAGCACGCATCGGTACATGTCCTGCTACAGCTGATCCGCTTTGGGTTGGTGACGTCTATTT